ATTATAGAGCTATATGTTCATAATTTTCGTTGTTCATATTCCCAATTGTTGAATTATGTTTTCACAAATCACAGAACTATATGTTCATAATTTGATAACTATACAGTTTATAAATTATGAATCTACAGTACATAAATTATGAATCTACAGTACAGATATTATGAATCTGCAGTATAGAAATTATGAATATATTGTATAGAAATTATGAATCTACTGTATTTAAATTATGAATCTACGGTTTAAAAATTATGAATCTAAAGTATAAATTTTATGAATCTACAGTATAGAAATTATGGATATAGGACTGTGCCCACCTTACAAGGTGGACACGATTCCACAGCATAACGTTCCTCAATAAAACTTACTTTAAACCTACATATTAAACAAACTTTTAAAAATGATTCAAGTCAGGCCAAATCAATTGTAGGCTCAGGCTTGAGCATAACAAAAAGCCTATATATAGACTCAAGTACAGGCGTTAGATTTTCATAACATGTGCAAGTCTAATTTTCTAAAGTTAGGCTCAACTCGGTCTATTTTGGAAAATTATTGTGTAGACCACGGTCCAAAACATCGTCGTGAATATTATGAGTAAAAATAATCTACATTATGTGTTAGAATAATGTACATTACGTGTTAGAATAATGTACATTATGTAAAATAATGTACATTATGTAAAATAATGTACATTATGCTTTAGAATAATATACATTATGTTTTAGAATAATGTACATTATGAGTTATAAAAATATATGTTGCAGCTCAACGCGCGAAAAAATAAAATTAAGCTAAATGACGTCGTTTTTGGGCCGTAGTCCTCACAACTGCGTGGACCACGGTCCATGCAATAAGTATTGGTATCATCCTATACCAGTCGTTATATCATGGACCGCGGTGCACGTCAAAACGACGTTGTTTCTTTAAGTAAAGAAACGGCATGCTACTACTGTTAAGTGTTAACGGAGCACGCATTTTTTGGTGTGTTAATTACCAACTGAAACTACAGTGTATCTAAATTGACACTACAATGTATCTAAACCGATACTGCCTCACGTATTATTTTATATATTATCACATGAAAATGCAGTTATATCAAAATAATACTATAGTTGTGGTGAAATGAAACTGCAGTGTATATAAAATGAAACTGAATAACATTTCACATATTTGAGTGTATATTGTGCAATGAAGCTGTAGTTATATCGAAATGATCATATAGTTGTGTTTTAATGAAACTATAGTGTATATAAAATAAAATTAAATAACATTTTCACATATTTGAGTGTATAAATATCGAATGAACTATATGTTCATAATTTGAACTCTATGATCATAATTTTCAATGTTTATATTCCCAATTATTGAATTATGTATTGTTATAATAATAATAATAATATTATTATTATTATTATTATTAGTAGTAATTAAACCAAGTCAAAGAATTTAATAAAAAAAAACATGGGTGAGTCATGTATGTTAATGTGGAACATGCCTAGATTATAGGAGTAGTACATGGAGCATTAGCTTCCTATTTATTAGCTTTCTCTTAGTATAAATATGTGGTGTATTTTCAGTTGTTAAAATATCCCAGTGAATAAACATTATTCATTCTAATCTTCCTCTCTCTCTCTTCCTATTTATATATTATTATATATAAATACATAGATATATTATATATAATATATATTATATTTAATATATCTAACATTTGGTATCAAAGTCAGTCAATTCAACCTTTCAACCCCGAAATATTTCCCGTAGTGAAATATGGCAACAAATTTCAATATTGTATGGTCGGGTCCCAAATTGGACGGGAAACTCGATTACAATTATTGGCAAATTATGATGTCCACACATTTGCAAGCTCAAAATCTTTGGAGCTTTGTTGATCCCGGTCTACCCGAAGGAGCTGATGCAGCCACTATACGGCGAGATAAATTGGCCTTGGGTCAGATTCACCAAGGTGTTCATTATTCCATTTTTGGGCAATTAGCTCGTGCTCAAACAGCAAAACAAGCTTGGGACATCTTAAAGGTGTCACACAAAGGAGTCGATCGGGCGCAGAAGTCTAAGTTGCAGTCGTTGAGAAGGTTGTACGATAATTGTGAGATGACCTCTACAGAAACAGTAGATATGTATTTCACTCGTCTTATTGATATGGTGAATAAGATGAGGTTATACGGAGATACAATTGAAGATGGTGCAGTGGTTGAAAAAGTTCTTCGAACTATGCCGATGAAGTATGACCATGTGGTGGCTTCGATCACAGAGTCACACAAAACTGAGCTCTTATCAATTGCAGAGCTGAAAGGTATGGTAGAAAGTCATATTGACAGGATTGCGTCAAAATCGGAACCACTAGCAGAAGAAGCTTTGAAGAACCAAGTCACCCTTGATGTGACTGGCACTAATCAAAGAGGTGGAGGATCTGGTAGAGGTCGTGGAAGAGGAAGAGGAGGTTCTAGTGGAAGAGGTCGTGGTAACTCCAACCAAGGAAGAGGTGGAGGTAATACCAAACAAGGTAAATTTTCATTTCATTGCTACAATTGTGGCAAGTATGGGCACAAGATTGCAGATTGTTGGTATAATGAGGACAACAATCGTGGAAATCAAGCAAACATTGCTGAAAATACTGCTGAAAAGTCTGGTGAGAATTCTGAAACCTTACTTTTGGCCAGTGATAGTTTTTCTGCAGATAAAAACATATGGTTCTTGGATACTGGGTGTAGTAACCATATGTGTGGGAAGAAAGAATTGTTTTCTGAACTAGATGAATCAGTCCAGTCTGAAGTGACATTTGGCAATAAGTCAAAGGTGCCAATTTTGGGAAAAGGTAAAATCTCTATTCAGTTGAAGGATGGTACTCAAAATTTTATATCCGATGTGTTCTATGTTCCTGAACTAGACCAAAATTTGTTGAGTATGGGTTAGCTGTCAGAAAAAAGGATATAAGATACATATTGCTCAGGGGTGTTGTACCATTGAAGATGTTAAAGAAGTTTTGATTGCAAAGGTAAATATGTCCCAAAATCGACTATTTCCTTTGAAAATTAAGCATACTCTCCTTGATTGCTTTAATTCTGAAGTTTGTGATGATAATTGGTTATGGCATATGTGGTTTGGGCATTTTCATTTCTTTGGATTAAACTATCTTGCGAGAAAGGAACTTGTTTCTGATTTACCTGTTGTGAATGTCCCTAATCGTATCTGTGAGATTTGTGTGATTGGGAAGAAGCATAGAGATCCCTTTCCCGTGGGCAAGTCAAGGAGAGCTACAAAACAGTTGGAGATTGTTCACTCAGACCTGTGTTCGTTGGAGGTTACCTCACATGGAGGTTGTAAGTAATTTATTACTTTCATTGATGATTTCAGTAGGAAAACATGAGTTTACTTTCTGAAGCAAAAATCTGAAGCATGTGATGTTTTCAAACAATTTAAGGCTTTTGTTGAAAAGCAAAGTGGTTATGAGATTAAAATCTTGAGAACTGATAGAGGTACAGAATATACTGCCTGTGATGATTTTCTGAAGAAGAAGGGTATTCAACATCAGATGACAGCTAGATACACTCCACAACAAAACGGAGTGGCTGAGAGGAAGAATAGATCTATCGTGGATATGGTGAGGTGCATGTTGAAATCCAAGAATCTGCCTAAACCTTTTTGGGCAGAAGCTGTTGCTTGTGCTGTCTATGTGTTGAATAGATGTCCAACTAAGAGTGTCCGTGATATGACACCTGAGGAAGCTTGGAGTGGGAAGAAACCCTATATAAGAAATCTTAAGGTTTTTGGATGTTTGGCATATGCACATGTGCCAGATCCATTGAGAAAGAAATTGGATGATAAAGGTGAGAAGTGCATATTCATTGGTTATAGTGACGCTTCAAAGGCTTATAAACTATACAATCCTGAAACTAAAAAGGTTGTTATAAGTCGTGATGTCACTTTTGATGAATATGGTGCCTGGGATTGGTTAGCTAAAGATGAAAGTTTAGTTGTTATTCCTGCTGTTGAAAATATTGTTGAAGAGCAACCCATTCCAGATAATGTCCAATCTCCTTCACAGCCAGAATCGTCAATTCGACGATCTCAGCGCGAGCGCCATTTACCAGCTCGCTTGCAAGATTATATTTTGGGTCATGATAATAACCTGTCTGATGAAGAGATTATTCAATTTGCTCTCTTTGCAGATTGTGATCCTTTAACTTTTGAGGAGGCTGCTATAGAAACTCATTGGCTTAAGGCGATGGATGAGGAGATACGTGTCATTGAAAAGAATGGTACCTGGGAGTTAACAAATTTACCTCCTGTGAAGAAGCCAATTGGAGTAAAGTGGGTTTACAAAACGAAATACAAGTCAGTATATCCAACTTGAAGACGGAAACATTTTTCAAGTTGAAGAAGGAGATATTGGGATGACCAATACATCCAACTTGGTTTAAAGGAGGCAATGTTATAATAATAATAATAATAATAATAATAATAATAATAATATTATTATTATTATTATTATTATTATTATTATTATTACTATTATTATTAGTAATTAAACCAAGTCAAAGAATTTAATAAAAAAAAAAGGTGAGTCATGTATGTTAATGTGGAACATGCCTAGATTATAGGAGTAGTACATGGAGCATTAGCTTCCTATTTATTAGCTTTCTCTTAGTATAAATATGTGGTGTACTTTCAGTTGTTAAAATATCTCAGTGAATAAACATTATTCATTCTAATCTTCCTCTCTCTCTTCCTATTTATATATTATTATATATAAATACATAGATATATTATATATAATATATATTATATTTAATATAACTAACATGTATTCACAAATCACTGAATTATATGTTCATGATCTGATAACTATACAGTATAAAAATTATGAATTTACAGTTTAAAAATTATGAATCCAATTCCGTAGGAGCGCAGAGCATAACGCTCCACGGTCTCATAGAAGTGTGAAACTTACCTATATAAAGACAACCTTAACCTTATCTCGATCTGGTCAAGGCGTAGAATTTTCAATATCAATTATGATGATATTATTGTGCCACTCCTTATTGTTGTGCAGTTAGTCTCATGCATTCCGATACTTCTATGTCGTCTCTTTAACGTCGCATCTCATCTTTAACTCTCACCCTCCAACACGTACTACTACTCTACTCATCCTGTGAAAATTGAGCTGAGCTGACATGAATTCAATGGCGTCCGCGTCTTCACCAGGAGCACCAGATCTGAACGGCGCCGTAGACGCTCCGTCGTCGTCGTCGTCATCCCCTGCAGCGCCGCCTTTAAGCCGGTACGAGTCGCAGAAGCGGCGAGACTGGAACACTTTCTTACAGTACCTGCAGAGGAACCAGAAGCCGCCGCTAACCCTTCCCCGGTGCGGCGGAGCTCACGTGCTTGAGTTCCTCAAGTACCTAGACCAGTTCGGGAAGACGAAGGTGCACGGGAATGGGTGCCCTTATTTTGGGCACCCCAACCCTTCGGCTGTGTGTATGTGCCCTTTGAAACAGGCTTGGGGCAGCTTGGACGCCCTCGTCGGACGGCTCAGAGCGGCGTACGAAGAGCACGGTGGGGCGCCGGAGTCCAACCCGTTTGCGGCGAGAGGCGTGACGGTATATCTTAGGGAGGTAAGAGAAACCCAAGCCAAGGCTAGAGGAATAACTTACGATAAAAAGAAGCGGAAAAGGTCTTCTGCGACTAGCGTTAGCGGTGGGGATGAGGTTGTGGTGTAGTCTTGGTGGCGGCGCTGCTGCCGATCTTCTGGCCGGTAGCTTTAGCGGTATAAAATAATAGGTGTGTAAGAGTGTAAAAGAGTATGTATGACCCACAAAATGGAAAGAGGAAAATTATTATGCGTACGTTCACTTTAAATTCTCAAACTTTCACTCACACATAAAATTTTGATGTAGATACTTGTATTGAGAGTTACATGAAAAAAATAGCTTATCAGATTTCGTCACATAATGAGTAAAATTGTTGGAATAAGATTTGGGAATACATATAGTAAAACTCTGAACAGAAAAATTGTAAAAAAAAAAAAAATACAATATGTATTTTCATTTTTTACTCTCAACTTTTACTTCCCGTGTTCTACACACAAAATTTGAATGTAGACATTTGTATTAGAGTCTACATGACAAAAAGTAACTTATCAATGTCTGTCAATGTGAGTAAAATTTAAAATATAAAATTTGGGAGTTAATATAGTAAAATTCAAAAGAGAAAATAGGACAGGAAATGGGGAGAGATTTGTTGAACATATAACTATTGATGTACAATCCAACTATCAGCTTAAACTTTTAGTTGAGATGGAACACATACTTCAATTTGATATCAAAACTTTTAATTGAAATAGAGCACATGCTTGGATTTAAGCCTACAAAATGGGGAAAAAAGTCAAATACTTTCAAAATATCACTCATTTCAAAACACGAGTTAATAGTTATCCTTACTTGGGAAGTGGGAACAATTGGTATAAGATTCAATTCTTTCCTATTGGGTGTAACCTATTTTGAAATTGAGTTCTACTACATGTACTTTCAAATTCTACTCCCTTATTTGTACTCCATGACATAACAAACAAAGATTGAATATTTTCATCATGTAGACTTCAAGAAATGTGTCAACATCAAGAATTTGTGAGAAGGAGTACAAATTGGGAGTAAAAAAATAGAAGTACATGTAATATTTTCCTTTGAAATTAAGGTATTTTTGACATATGAGGTCTAGCTAGGTAACTGTTGTTAGGTTACATTGTTTGTTCTCCTTATGAATGGTTAGTGTTGTTTAGTCTAAATTTTGGTAGTTAATATATAAATAAAAATAGTTAAGTTTTGCTTGAATATATCTCTCTCGATTTCACCTGTTTTTTAGAGTTAAATTGACCGAAATTTCGTTTAGTAATTGAATATTTGAATTCATGTTGTCTTTCTAATTCACTACTTGATGATGATGTTTGTATAGTATTTTTGAAATTCAAAGAAAATGTATTTAACTTGTCAAGCTCAGTCCGTAAGGTGGACTCCATAGTCTATTATATACTCCGTATTTATTTTTACTTTAATAGACTACAATAGTTAGTCTATAACTTTCATTATTTCAGAATTAAACGCTTAACACTCTACTAAAATTTATACCTAATAGTAAAGCGCAATTATATTTTCTTATATCAAACCAACGCCTAACAATTTACAACTGAATCACTTTTGAATTACAAAGCATATATGTAGTCGGTGTAGGCAGTGACCAAACAATTTGAAGGCAAATGGGTGATATCATTTTCTGAATCTTATACTCCGGTATTTCACATTCCGGTTTTTGTTGAATCAAATATGTTTTTTCACACCGGGTTTTAGGGGCAACAGCTACGTTAACCTATGAGAAAGCGACTACTAACCAACTCCTTAATATATGTTATGCAATTCCTCTACAAGTTAATATCTTATCTTTATTAGAATAGCTTAAAGAGCCTCACAATCACACGTCCTTTCATAGATAAGGAATTTCTAATTTTCTGTCAATTTTAAAAATAAAATAAAAAGTTATTGTTAGTTAGTGTATATTTTAATGATCTGATTTTTTTATTTTTTGAGAAGTTCGAATCTTTCCCAAAAGAAAAAACATCTTTTATCTTATTAACTAGTATTTTCTATGCGGAATGCGCAAATTTCAGTGCCCAATATTAATACTTTATATTAAAATTTTAGATAAATTTAAATTTTAAATATTTAAATTATTTTAAATAATAATAATAATAATCATAATGTAAAACATTTTAATAAATTTAATATAATATTTATATTTATGAAATAACTAACATATAACACTCTAATATATAATGTGTATATTATTATTATTATTATTATTATTATTATTATTATTATTATTGAAGAAGATAAGAAAATATATGGTTGATACGTGTGCATTGTAACAATAGTAAAAAAGATATTGAGAGTTATAACAGTAAGGATATATTTGTCCAAAATATTATATAGTACAACTTTTATAGCATAATGTATACAAAAACTGTAACGAAAAAACAAATATAAATAAAGGATATAACCTTCATTCACACTTATTATGCTTTTAGATAATCATATACTTAAACGTCTATAATGGATTAAATTTTTTTAATTTATGAAAAAACTCACGACTACTACTCAAAAATGCATTGAGTGAAATAGTGAATAAAAAAACCTGCATGCTGACAATAAATAAATAAATAAATAAATAAAACTTGAAATTTTGTGATTATCAAGCTTATGGTGTCCAAACAACTTAGTTGTGATTACTACATGAAACCTTGTTGTTATCAAGGTAACTGTCCAAATAACTTAGCTGAAATTGTCCTAAGTTTAGATTTCTGTCCACCCATCTAATAGACTGGATTGTAAGTGGGGTGATCTATGCCTCTATGACTATAAGCGTGGGGAGAAAATGTCTTTTGAGTTGAAATGCACATGATAATATATATGAGCTCCATTATTATCTCACTGCACACATAACTTTTACACATTATCTCAGGACTTGTACAGCATCTTAATGGCTTCATTTCTTTAACATACAAACATTAACTACACAAAACAACCTTAAACTTACTCTACTGCCACTCGTTTAGCAAGGTTCAACAACGACGTTACGACTGAACCCATGGTTGATAACTTGGGAGTAATTCTCTTAGTATATCGGAACGGATTGATGAATCTGATCATCCCATCTTGAGTGGCATCACCAGGTAGTTTCCCGCAAGTCGCAACCTTGTCTCTTCCTCCGTATGCTTTGCAGACATAGCTTACGAAGTTCTCATAGTCCTGCAATGAGGGCAGCCGTTAAATATTTACCCAAGAGAGATACACCATTATTATATTTAGTTATCAATGTAAGCTGATTTTTTTAGCTGAGAATTGGCAATAGTTGATTATAAGATGAAACAGACCAAAAATCCATAGTACTGAGTGTCGGAATGAAAGGAGTCTGACCTCATATAGGGGCTGTCCGTTCACAACTACCCACGGCACATACTCGTGAGGGGGCTCGAGGGCATTTGTTTGTGCTGCATAGCTCAATTCAAGCTGCAATATAAACATGGGGAATAAATGGTCAAGTCATAAAAGTATGCTCATGGTGCGGTAAAACTTTTTAATAACTCAATCTGAATACCCAAGCTATTCCCATCCATTCATAGGAGTTCTACACACTATTGCAAAAATTGGCCTGGGCGGCCGATTAGGCTCTAGGCACCCCTAGGCCGGGGGGATTTTACCCTTAGGCAGACATTAGAAGGCCAACTAGGCAGCCTACGCATCCGAGTCGGTCCAACTAGGCAGCCTACGACTCGGATAGGCGCCCGGCTAGGAGCTTTCTACAACATTGGTTCTACAATGTAAATAGTTTCATAATTGAACAAACTATATGAAAGAAGTAAGCATTGTACTCGGGGGAAACAAATGATGTGCACATCGATATGCTGTGATGTTGATATGGGGGGCAATAACAAGACTGCGGAAACCTAAATTTCATAGTGCAAATCACAAATGTCCACCCAGGATTTCAAAGAGATCTTTAACTATATAGAAATGGTAATCAACTCTCAACACAATGTAGCATTTAATCATTAGATACATATAGAAAAAGTAACAATGGGGAAAGAAAACTAGTAGATCAGTGAAGAAAGTTAACCTCTTTACCACGCCCGGAGGCATAACAATCAGAAATTTGCTTTGGATCCTTGCCCAATTTCTCATAGCATGTTTCCCACTTAGAGTATTCTCCATTGTCCACAAGACTTTCCACACAATATATAAAAGGAAAGTGTTCCTTCTGCATATACATATTCAATTCAATTAGATAAACTAAAAAGCACAGCAGCAAAGAGAATGGTCAATATAGACTCTCCCTTTCTAATTTTGTAGTAATACTATCTGCTGCCAATACAAATGAATCAAACAAGGGAATAACCCCAGCCAAGATGGCTAAGGATATAAACTTGTAACCAAGGTCACGAGTTCAAATCTCAACTCTTTTTATTTGAGTCGGTCAGCTATAGGCAACCTAGGCTGATTTATCTTATAGTCCTTTGCCAGCTAAGGTAATTCCCTCGTCACCCAAAAATGAATCAAACAAGGGAATAACCCCAGCCAAGATGGCCAAGGATACAAACTTGTAACCAAGGTCACAAGTTCAAATCTTAAATCTTTTGATTTGAGTCGGTCAGCTATAAGCAACCTAGGCTGATTTATCTTATAGTCCTTTGCCCGCTAAGGTAATTCAAAAATGAATTAAACAGGAGAATAACTCCAACCAAGATGACAAAGGATACAAACTTGTAACCAAGGTCACGAGTTCAAATCTCAACTCTTTTGATTTGAGTCGGTCAGGCAATCTAGGCTGATTTAGCTTATAGTCCTTTGCCGGCTAAGGTAATTCCCAAAAATGAATCAAACACTTTGTAATCAATCCAAAACATACCAAATCTGGCCAGGCATCAATTGCACAAGCCTCTATAGTGTTCAACAAACATTCAGCCGCACCATGCTGCAACCATCACAGTGAAAATTCAACCATTTTCTATGTTAGTATGAGCTTATTATACAAATCCATATTTAGTCATGATAATTACATATGCATAACACAACTACCAAATTAAAAACTTGAAAGTCAAAACAGCAAATCAATTCAAGAATTTCAAAGGGTCAACGGAGAGTATCTAAAAGAAAGATAAATTGGGGAATTCGGAGGAAAGAGAAAAGAAAGTGTTCTGAAGAACCTGGCATTCGAAGGTGTTGTTTCCTTTAAGCTTAGCATTACCCCACGGAAAAAGAGTTAGATCCACAATATCGATGATCCCATTTTCATAGATCTTGGCTAAATAATTAACGATGAAATTGGCACTGTAAGGGCAAAGGGATTCGTAGTACAGATCCAAAGAAACTTTTCCACAAGAAATAGGAGACAGTGAGGTGAAGAACAGCAAGCAAACGAGAAAACAGATTTTGGTTTGCTGATGAGAACCCGCCATTTGAGATGATGCGAAGTTTGAGATTATAGAGTTTTGGTTTTATAGGCCTGGCCAGATATTAGCTTTAGCTAAATTGGAGGAGCAAGTGTAGCCGTGGGGGATTTCAAGTTTTAATTTAGGGACTGACCCTTTAACGGGTGGCGTATACTCAGGTTGCCACCGCTACTGATCTTTCCCCAAAGGTGACAAATGGGCCATAAAAGTTAATTTCTGAATTCTGATGATAGATGCTATGTCGTCTAGGTTCATCCCTGAGTCAATTCAACTCCTGATATAGTGTCTCTAGTGAAGGACTAAAATGAAATTTGGCAAAACTTGTATGAGATTATCTCATATATTTTTGTCGATGAGACAGATAGAGTTAAGATAAAATATAATATTTAAAAGTAATAAACATGTTATTTCTTTCACCAAAAAAAAAAAAAAAAACATTTTATTTTTGATTTAGTATTAGCTAATATAAATATTATATTTGCATATTTACCTTACCTGACATGACCTGTCTACGGAAAAGGATCTGTGAAACGTTCTAGTGTAACCCATGAAATTAAATATACAAGTGGCCAAATATTTTGTACTCAAATAACACCCGGATTGGATTCCCATATGGGAGGTTGTGAGTTCAAGCTTCAGTGGAGGCGTTCTTCAGTAAATTGAGAAAGACAATAGCATTCAAAATAAATATACAAGTGATTTCGTTTTTTTTTTTTTAAAGAAAAAAGCTTTTGAATTATAAGATAATTGCACATGAATTTAATCTACGTATTATATTAATTACCACTTTTAATTATTAAGTTATCAGTAAAGTGACTAGTTACAATGATACTTAGGGGTAATGGAAGATTGATCTTTTATAGAAGGAATAAAGGTCAAATAAGCCAGTCAATTGCACACCAAGTTGCAATTACATCGTTGAACTTAAAAAAATGTAATTAAGTCCCAAACAACACAAAATCATACAATTAGATCAAAATATAACCTGTTTACCTAAAAAGACAATTACCAAATTTAAAATTAATTTTTTTAAAATAATTTTAAATAAAATAAATAATTAATTAAAAAAGAAAAAAAAATTGAAACGCCGGCCGACTTCGTCTCCATGATTGGAGACGAAGGTCTCCAGCCATGAAGACCTTCATCTCCATGGCCGGTGACCCATGGAGACGAATCTCCATGGATAGTGACCTATAGAGACGAAATCGGCCGGCGTTTTAGTATTTTTTTTTAATAATTAATTAATTATTTTATTTAAATTATTTTTTAAAAAAATTAAGTTTAAAATCGGTAATCGTCCTTTCAGGTAAACAAGTCATATTTGAATCTAATTGCATGATTTTGTGTTGTTCAGAGGCCCAATTAAATTTTCTTGAGTTTGATAATTTAATTACAGTTTGATGTGCATTTAAGTGCCCTATTTGACCCTTATTCCTTTTATAGAATATAAGTCCCAAGACATGTAATTCTTATCGTCTAATTGGCAAAATGTATTGATGTGGAAAGTGATGAAATTAGTGACTTAGTTTGTTAAAAGTTATTCATTAATGATAATTTAAATGTATTGATGTGGAAAATGATGAAATTAGTGACTTAGTTTGTTAAAAGTTATCCATTAATGATAATTTCCCTTCGAATTGTACTTGTGAGATATACAATGTACTAGATAGCTCAAAAAAGAATTGGTGGTGGAGGAAATTTGGAACCCCAATAAGGTGAGCATTTTACACTGAAAGGTTTTAAATACTGGCATAAAATCCATGTCTTTTTTGGCAGGTAGACATTATTCTGCAATCGTTATACCCTGCACCACGGTGCACATAGCACTATGCGTCTCGCGCCTCTCAAAACGAAGTCGTCTTGATAAATTGTGGGAAGTTGATGCGACACAGTGTATGTTTATTATGTTATATAATTATGTACATTATATTATACAATTATGTACATTCTGGTATACAATTATGTACATTTTTTTATACAATTATGTACATTTTTGAACAAACGATTTTTTTAACAGTTAAAAGTTTATGTACATTCTCATATACAATAATCATGTACATTTTAGTATACAATTATGTACATTTTACTATACAATTATGTACATTTTCAAAACATGATTTTTTTAACAAGTTAACAGCAAATACAAAAAATCAGAAATTTAAAAAAAAAAGTGCAAAAAACGACGTCGTTTTGCACCAGGGCGCACTTTGCAATTCGCGCCCTGGTGCACGATATAAATTGTCATTATTCTGGCAGGGGCGGTGCATTGGATAATATACTTGACTAATGAGGAGATTACTCTTCATAGCTTGAGAGACTACCAAATTAAAGGATCCGAAATGCATAGATATAAGTATTAGGAGAAGTAGATGGTTGACACTTGACATCCATCCCTTTATTCTCTCAGTTTCCTTTCAGTTAATTCAGTTACCCTTTTGGTTGTATTTTTCCCTCCTCTTTCTTGTTGAATATACTCCGTGTATATAATAAAGCTTCAGAATCTTCTTCAGTTGGTTAATGAGAAATATCTTCCTTTACTTCTGTTATTCTTTCTCCTCTGTGCCTTTGAATTTTCACATGGTATCAGAGTGTTATTCTTTCTCCTCTGTGCCTCTGAATTTTCACATGGTATCAGAGCCTTATTATGTGCTCCTTGAGGACTTCCTCTCATGGCTACCACGGCTGCCTGACCTCCAATCAGTAATCAGACGACTCCGATCAACAACACGACGGCAACTCCAACGACTTTTGAAATTTCAGCACGATCTTCTAAGCCAGCAAATAGATTGAACTCTCCTTTACTTCTGTTATTCTTTCTCCTCCGTGACTCTGAATTTTCACATGGTATCAGAGCCTTATTAGGTGCTCCTTGAGGACTTCCTCTCATGGCTACCACGGCTGCCTGACCTCCCATCAGTAATCAGACGACTCCGATAAACAACACGACAGCAACTCCAATGACTTCTGAAATTTCAGCACCATTTTCTAAGCCAGCAAATAGATTGAACTCTGGTAAGGTAAATTTCGAACCAGACGGCAAATAGGTTGAACTCTGGTAAGGTAAATTTCAAACTAGAAACTCAATCTAATCCCTAATTTCTATCCTGCACTAGTGCTCCCCTCAACTCCAATGGATGTTATTGGACGACATTCGTGCCGGCGCACGCGAGCTCGTGCTCCTCTCAACTCCAATGGATGTTATTGGACGACATTCGTGCTGGCGCACGTGAGCTCGGGCTTGAATCAAACCGTTCCGATCTCTTCTAGTTGGAATTTGATTTGCACCCCTCCCCCCCCCCCCCCCCCCCCCCCGCATGAGAGAGCCTCTATGCTATACAATTCTACAAGCTTCAAAAGAGCTCTTGTATATAAGGGGGGCAAATCCACTTTCCAAACCAATGTGGGACAAAGCTCACTTTGTTCCCTTCATTTCCCAACTCAAACGGGTCTACTTTGAGAATCAATATCTCATTCACCCATTATCCGTTTTGAGCGTACAATATATCAATCTCTTCGTCTCATTACGAAGAACCCAAATCCACTTTGACCCGACCCAAATCGGAAGTGGACCCCACTGATAATTGTACCACAAAATAGCCACTTAATATGCCATTTTAAGCTAATTTTTCCAACAATCCCCCACATGAATGAAAATTGATTTTCGGGGTAGTTTTAAAAACGGAAACAACTGTGTTCAACGGTCGATCCCTACATAGGATAGGTAGGGTCACACCCTTTGAACCTTCCCTCGTGAAGATACATTTACTCTACTGACTGTACGGTAGAACGTGATGTCTTTGAACCGACTGCCGTTTGTGTAGACGATGACATATCTCACACAGGAACCTCCCAACTATGCTTTGTTCTCATGATTGTGCCCATTTTGGTCGTGGGTCACCATTCCTGGTTCTGCAAGAGTTTGTGAAGAATTGTGCCCGTCAATTCTCCTTTGAAGCGACCCTCACTTCTCTCTCACATAGGTGATTCTTTCCCGAGTATCCCGCATACTCACATATGTCAACCGACATTCGAATCACTAAAGCATTTAACATGCTAACCTTGTGCGGAGCCACTGTTTCTAACAAGGAGTGGTAGGGAATCCGAGACCCCCATAGTGACACGCTTCGTTCCATAATTTAGTTGTCCCATTGAACCTAGGTGCCAGCTAGGTTGGGTGTCCACTATAGAACTTTATACCAAGGGCTTTAGACCCATTCCTCGTCTCAACTTCTCCACATCTACTTTACATAACCCTTTGGTTAGCGGATCCGCTATATTGTCTTTTGACTTTACGTAGTCAATCGAGACAACACCAGTTGTGAGAAGTTGTCTAATGGTATTATGTCTACGACGCACATGTCTAGACTTACTGATACTGCTAATTATACGTAAGCAATATGAAGTAACTCGAGACCAATTAAAGCAAGTAAATGTCTTTATTGATCACGGTAAAGGCCCTAAGTACAATCTACTTGGTTGCTCTGAGTACCGACTGACTGCGGTCGGGATTCTCTAACAACAACCTATCGATCGTCCAAAAGTCCCCTACACTGTAGCTACTGTGGGTATTTATAGCCGCTATGCCGGGGACAGGATTCCAGCCGTTCGGCATGTCCTCTACGTAGCCACCACGTGTCATCCTCCCGGGTGCCCTGCCTGTCGATGTAGAGAGCCGCCACGTGTCCTCCATCAGCTCTCTCGCCAAAGGGCTACCGCTCGGTGGTCGACATCATCGTTCGGGCAACTCCCGGTCGGACCCCGACCGGGTTCTTCACAAGGAGCCCGACCTGCTACCTGCAAAGACAAAGAGAAAAGGACAAAGGCATCTCGATCGTGGTGAAGCTATGTCGGTCGGGATATTCCCTACCAAGAGCCCCCCAGCCCGGGCCTTTTTGACCGTCCGGGAAAAAACGGGACGGGATGAAGAAGCTCAACCGTCGGCCACCAAACCGACCGGCCAGCTGTCATTCCCCTCCTCGCCACGTGTCGGCCACTGCCGGCCTCGGAGTCAGTGTGGGTCGTGTCACGCAAGCGGATTGGTTTCCCGCCTAAATGCTCTCCTATAAATAGGCCCTTGAGGCCTCCATTTGAACTTTCCTCACTCTTTTGCTTCAGTCGGTACCCTCAGAGAGTCCCGAGCAGAGCACCTTAACAAGGCAGTCGAGCAAGGAAACCTTCAAGCTTTCAACCGCAAAGTTCCTTCATTCGGTAAATTCTCAACCCCTCCCTTTACTTTGCGCTTTCATTTATAAGTAGAACTGATAGGCCAACTAACTGTCCCGGACGTCTCAAGTCCCTTACTAACCCCGACCGACCTTTAGGTAGATCGAAATGACGGATTCTGACAGCCAGAACGCCTCAATCGCGGACTATGACGAGGAGGTCGAGTACCTCAGCGACGAGGAGGTGGACATCATGTCCTACTCTCCCGAGGTCACCCACCGACCGGCGCCGGCCCCCGAGCGGGCTTCCGAACAAGACAACGCGTCAAGCTCCTCTGGGTCATCGAGCTCCAGCTCAAGCGGATCGGGGAATTCCGGCGAAGAGGAAGAAGGAGCCTCATCAGGCAGACAGGGCTCCCCGCTCGAAGGCGTTAGGGAAACGCCTATCCGGGTAAATACTCCCGAGCCGGCCGAGGAAAACACAGCTGGGCCGAGCGCACCAGCCACAACGGAGTTCGAATTCTTGAACAGCGAGAATGTCGAACAACAAATGAGCCGATTGACCAAAGGTGAAGCGGCTAGGATTGCTGAAAGGCTCGGAGGTCGGGTGGAATTCGACACGAGCCGGAAGTTAGGGAATGTCATCGATCGGCATCGGGGCAAATGGATCGGGTTGCATTACGACTCCCTGATGGCCCAGATCGCCATTCCCTTCACCCCCCTCCTGAACGCTTTCTTGGCCTACTACCGGGTCTTCCCGGCCCAGATTTGCCCCAACGCGCACCGGATCATAGCCTGCTTTCCGCAGATATGCGCTCGGCATGAGGCCGCCTGTACGATGGAGTTGTTCAACTACATCTACCAGGTCAAAGCTCTCCCGGGCAGCTACGGGGGCGGGTTCTTGATGCTACAGTCCCGAGCCGACATGTGCGCAATCAGAGGCCTGCCCGGGAACAACAAGGGGTGGAAGAATAGGATTTTCTCCATCAAATACGACCCCTGGATTCTCCCGGTTGACCGCGCTTGGAGCACCCACTTTCGGAAACAAGTGGTGCCGGACGAGACGCAAGCGCTCAAGGAGACGGTCAGTCGGATCTCGAGCGAGCTGCACGAGTATACAATCTTCCGAACGGCCGAGAGTCTTGAGGCGGCTAAGCTCCCGCCCCCTACATACGAACTACGGGAGAAATATCTGCCCGTGCCGATGGGCGTGACGGTCACCAAACCGTCGAGGCGAACGAAGAAAGGTTTTAACTCGAGCTAATCCTCCCGACTTAACTTTATGCCTCGATCACACTAACTTGATTTCTTTGTTTGCAGCTATGGCAGAGTTTGGTGACGAAGATGCCCCCCTTCCCCCGCCCGCCAAGATCTCCCTTGGCGGCAAGAAGAAGGCGAAGGCGAAGCCCGCCGGGGAAAAGGAGATTCCCTCGGCCCGACCACTAGGTACCTCGACCGTGACGACGGGCGAGGGCTTTATCGTCGAGCCCTCCGACGTCCTGATCACCCGGGTGGAAGTCGCCCAGGGCAAGGAGAAGGTCCCCGACCGAGGCGTGTCCGAGGTGGGCGGCATAAAACGCCGCCGCGAACAACGCAGCCCGAGCCCTTCGGTCGGGCGAGAAAGGGACACTACGTCCATACTGGCCCGGATCGGGAATGCGGGGCGAGCCACAGAAGATCTGGGGAGGATGACCCCCACACAAGTGGCTGAGCGGATCGGCCACGACCTGGCCGAGGTAAGCCCTTTCCCCCTCTAAAACATTTTCCCAGTGCTTCTTAACGAACTGACTGACATCCTTCCATTGCAGATCTCCCGAGCCGCTCAACTTCTCCAAGGCCGGGCAATGCTGGCCGAGGAAGCCGACCGACATAAGAAGATGGCTGCTCGGCGTCTTCAGGAGGTGAAGGACCTCCAGGCCGAGCTGGAGAAGGCCCAGAAGGGCCTGAAAAAGAGCGAGGAAGACCGAGCCCTCGCAGAGAAGGTTGCCCAACGGGCGATCGGGGAAGCGAGAGAGCTGAAGGCCCGGCTCGATACTCCGAGCGAGTTGGTGCAGACTGTCTTCAAGGACAGCGAGTCGGGCTCGGCGTTTCTCACGGCGGCCCGGGGAACTAAGGTTGGAGAGGACCTGATCGTCTCCTTCGGCCGGTGGGCGTTCAAGTCCGGGCAACGCAAAATGCTGGAGCGAGCCCGTACCCGGTTGGAGCAAGCTCTCGAAGGAGAGGATCTCCAGCTGGTCCTGTCGGCTTTACCCCCGGATCTAGCCGACCCCGGCCCCTCCCCCTTCGCTCCCAAGGAAAAGGCGACCGAGCCTGGGGCACCATCGGCGGCCACTTCGAGCGGGAAGGAGGCAGTTGCCGGAGCTCGGGAATTGAAGAAGTAGAATAGGCTTCTCTTTTTGTAAAAACGCTGATCGGGAGCCCGGTCCCGAAATTGTACCGGGCACTCTTTTGTGATTAATGGAACTCGTTTTTGTTGAACTTATATTGTTCGTCTTTCTTTCTGCTGCCTTTACTTTTAGTCATGCACATGTTGACCCTTAATGTTCGACCTCATGGCCTTTTGGCCCGGTCTCGCACTACTCGATCCGTTCGACGCCCGACCTTATGGCCTTATGGCCCGATCGTGCATCCGAGATTTCGACATCAAACTGGCCAACCTGATCGGGTTTACCCGGTCTCCAGGCCTTGTCAAAATTCTTGAAAATAAGTAAGCCTCTACGGTCGGGATACTTCCGAACGACGGGCCCTTGTCAAAATTCTTGAAAATAAGTAAGCCTCTACGGTCGGGATACTTCCGAACGACGGGCCTGTAAATACTTCCTTCATCCCAGCCCCCACACTATTGTGCTCTCATGGCACGAGTGAGTGCAATAGTGGACAAGAAGTGATCAGATCGGGGAATTATGCTGTGTGCTCCTGGCTTCCCCGACCGGTGGCGTGACTCGGATGTCCGCCGATGTGGAGCGCATTTGACCGGTCGATAAATTCGCCCGGTCGGTGTAGCTTGATAAATTGATCTGCGTGCACTGAAGGTAAAGAAAATAACCGACCGGGCCGCCGCATGCAAGCGGTCGAACAATCGCCGATCGTATATACATTAAAACCTTCCCGCTCGCAGGCGGTTAAACAAATATTTACAACCATAAAGCTTAATTACAACCGACGACCGGGACCTACTCGCAGGTCAAGCCCCCACTTCGTCAAAAGTTACAGAAAATAGGCCTAATGCCTAAACATAACGAGGTGCTCGGAATTCCAAGTTCCCTCGATTACCCGACCAATTGTCGTCTCCAGTCGGTATGTACCCGGCCGTATGATCGCGCTGATGATGTACGGCCCTTCCCAGTTTTGAGCTAGCTTTCCGCCCTCCAAAGGTTGACTGGCCTCCCTTCGTCGCAGAACATAATCTCCAACCTGAAAATAACGAGGGTGAACCCGAACGTCTTTAGAACTCTTAACACACTTCTGGTACTCGGCCATGCGCCGAGCGGCTAGCTCTCGTTTTTCCTCGACCGCATCGAGATCCACAGCCATCGCATGTTCGTTTTCCTCCGCATTGTAGGTTGTCTCTCGATCGGTCGGGATCCAAGCCTCGATCGGGAGTCGGGCTTCAGCTCCATAAACCAGGGCGAAAGGGGTCTCCAAAGTAGCTTCCCTCGGGGTCGTCCGATAAGTCCATAAGACATATGGCAACTCATCGGCCCAACTACGACCGGCCGAGTGTAACTTCTTTTTCAGACCTTCCAAAATCGTCCGGTTCGCGTTCTCTACTTGACCGTTTCCCCGCGGGTAGGCAACCGACGACCGAACGTGAGTTGTCCCGATCGTGGCCAAAAAGTTCTGGAAATACTGGCTTACGAATTGGCGGCCGTTGTCGCTGATGAGATGCACGGGCACACCAAAGCGGGAAATCACATTTCGCCAAAGGAAACGAGCACATTGCTGAGAGGTGATCGTGGCTAAAGGCTCGGCTTCTATCCACTTGGAGAAGTAATCGATGGCGACGATCACAAATTTTCTCCGACCGGAAAGCTGAGGGAAGGGGCCCAATATGTCTACTCCCCACCTAGCGAAAGGAATTGCGGTCGTGACTGGCTGATAGAAGGTTGCCGGTCGTCCAGGCATCCGGGCGAACAGTTGGCACGTCTCACATTCCCGAGCTAACTTTTCGCAGTCCAGCTGGAGGGACGGCCAATAGTACCCGATCAGCATGATACGACGGGCCAGGGATCGGCCTCCTTGATGTGAAGAGCATATTCCCGAGTGCAGTTCCTTCATGACTATATCGGCCTCAAATGCGGTCAAGCAACGCATCAAAGGGCCTCCATACGATCGCCTGTAGAGACGACCGTCCAAAACTTGGAACCTTGGGGCTCTAAGCTTGGCCTTCCGAGCACGCTGTGGGTCGTCTGGGAGGCGACCATGCTCGAGGTACTCCTTCAGATCGGTGATCCAATTGTCTTCTACCGGTTGGATTGGATTCACCGGTAGACGATGAATGCTGTGTCTCGGGATCACCAAAATCCGAGCTATCTTCGACATGTGTTCCGGGGCATCTTGGGCCAATTTAGATAAAATATCTGCGTCGGCATTATCCAATCGGGGTATGTGTCGGACGGTATACCCCCGGAACTGAGCAAGCTTCTCCATGGCAAGATCTCGGTAAAGCTGCAGACGCTCTCCATTGACTTCATAATCCCCGAGAACTTGCCCGACCACGAGCGCGGAGTCTGTCTGAGCTCGGATGTACTCAGCCCCCAAGTCCCGAGCGCACTGTAAGCCATTAACAAATGCTTCGTACTCGGCTTCGTTATTGGTCGGGTGGAACTGGTACATAAGAGCAAAATAGACTTTGAATCCTTCCGGGCTCGTGACCACCACTCCTCCTCCTGCTCCCTTCTTGCTACTTGATCCATCAGTAGCCAACGACCACCACTCGGCCTCGGGATCCGCAACCTCGGGAGGTCGGGTATCCCGGGTGGTGCACTCGACCAAGAAATCAGCAAGAGCTTGACCTTTAATAGCCGGTCTCGGTCGGTATTCGATCGCGTACTGGGTCAACATTAACGCCCACTTGACTAGGCGACCCGATGATGAAGCAGTTCGGAGGACTGGCCCGATCGGCTGATCGGTCAACACGCGAATTGCTCGACCTTGGAAGTAGGGTGCCAACTTCTTCGCGGCAATGTATAAGGCGTAGACGACCTTCTCTAGCCGGGAGTACCGGAGCTCGGGACCATGTAGCGCGTGGCTTACATAGTACACCGGTCGCTGGACCCCTTCCGGATCGGTTCGGCACAACACTGCGCTTACTGCACGATCGGAGACGGCGAGGTACACGTCTAGCTCTTCTCCGAGCTCGGGCTTCGAGAGCACGATCGGTGACATGAGATATTCCTTCAGCTCATCAAAAGCCGCTCGACACTCTTCGTCCCAGACGAATCCATTAACCTTCCGCAATACCTTGAAAAAAGGCAAAGCGCGCTCGGCTAGCTTGGAGAGGAACCGGCTGAGGGCTGCCAACCGACCGGTCAATTGCTGGACTTCCCGAACGGTGGAAGGTGGTTGCATGTCCAGAATCGCTTTTACTTTGGCCGGGTTAGGCTCAATTCCCCTCTTGGTCATCATATAACCGAGGAACTTGCCGGTCTGAACCGCGAATGTGCACTTGGTCGGGTTCAACCGCAACTGGTACTTCCTCATGATCTGGAAGCACTCCCGGAGGTCCCGAGTGTGGTCGGATCGGTCCCGACTCTTGACCAGCATGTCATCGATGTAAGCTTCCATCGTTCGGCCCAATAGATCGGCAAAGAGCATGTTGACCATCCTCTGGTAGGTCGCTCCTGCGTTCCGTAGGCCGAACGGCATCACTCGGTAACAATACAGCCCATCCGGGGTTACGAAGGCCGTCTTGCTCTCATCTTCATGGTGCATCATGATCTGATGGTACCCCTTGAAGGCATCCATGAAGCTCATTAATTCGGCCCCGGCCGTCTCGTCAACCATCTGGTGAATGCTCGGTAAAGGATACGGGTCGAGCGGGTAGGCTTTGTTAAGGTCCGTAAAATCGATGCACATCCTCCATGCTGGGGGCTTAGGAACAAGAACGATATTTGCCACCCACTCGGGATAGACCACCGGCCGGATGTGCTCGATCGCCGCCATCTTTTTGACTTCTTCTCTGACAAATTCGCGGCGATCGGAGGAAAGGTGTCGTGTCTTCTGCACGACCGGCTTGGCTGAGGGATCGACGGCCAATTTGTGACAGATGACCGATCGATCGATCCCGGGCATGTCTTCAGGCCCCCACGCAAAGATATCAGCACATTCCCGGAGTACGGCCAAAACTTCCGCTCGAAGCTCAGGGGTGAGGGCTCGACCAATCTTGATCTTCCTATCCGGGCGGTCCTCGGATAAGGGAACTTCTTCTATTTCTTCGGAAGGCTCAGGCTGCTCCTTCCGTTCCTTAGCCTCCTCTTTGGCTATGGTGTTCACCCGGGAAGATGGACCGGAGTCACGTCTGTTGACCGCTCGGGTGTAACACTTCCGGGCGGACTGGACATCACCACGGACCACGCCGACCCCATTAGGTGTGGGGAATTTCATGCACAGGTGGGGCATAGAAATTATCCCACCGATCTTCATAATGGCGGGTCGGCCCAAGATAATGTTGTGGACGCAATGGAGGTTGACCACAACAAATTCCAGCTCCGTCTTGATCGACTTTGGAGGTGCGCCGATCTCGACCGGGAGCGTTATCTTTCCCTCGGGGTAAATAAGAGCCCCGGTAAATCCTGACAGTGGTACACCGACCGGAGTCAGCTCCTTCCTGTCGAGGCCAAGCTTCTCGAAGACGTCCAAGTAAAGGACGTTCACGCTGCTACCCGTATCCACCATAACCCTTTGGACGTCCGTCCCCTTAACATCAATCGTGACCACGAGCGCCTCCATGCCGTGGTCACTGCTGGTAGGCTGGTCCTCGAGGGTGAAGGTTATGGGTTCCATTTTCTGCCTTTTGCCGGTCTCTCGGGAATCCACTATTGTGACCGGGCAATTAGTCCTTGGCCGGGATGCGTCTTCCAGTCCACCAAAAATGACATGGATGGTAGGCTTTCCGGACGGGCGGCTACCAAACGGAGGGTCAGGGTCCCGTCGGTCATCATGACGATCGTCCCTTCGATCGTCTCTTCGGTCCTGACTTGACCGATCGGAGCGGTGATGAGAACGCCTGTGATCCCTCCGATCGGTATTCTTCTTGTTGTCCTCTCTCTTCCCCACACACTTGTCCAATTTTCCCAGGTTGAGCAGATCTTCCAACAATTGGCGTAAGTGGGTACACTCCTCGGTGTCATACCCAGCGCATCGATGGTAAGCACAGTGC